TTTTTAAAGATTTTATTTTTAAGTAATCTCTACGCCCAACTGGGGCCTGAACTCACAGCCCTGAGATCAAGAGTCGCATGCTTTACCGATTGAGCCAGCCAGGTGCCCCCATCACTGTATTATCAATAGCTGCATAAGAGGTCACTGTGGGATTGTCAGCTCTGCCAATTCTTGTGCTGTTAGGAACTTCGCTGCAGCAATGTCCTTGTACCTACCTCTGTGCACATATGTGTGTATTTCCAGAGGCCCCACTCCTAGAAATAGAATTGCTTGGTCATTGTAGTATGCTCATTTAAAAACTTTTAATTGACATTGCCACACTTCCTTCCACTAAGCGTGCCCTCAATTGACATTTCCAACAGCAATTTCTGAGATGCCCATTTTTCCACCTGTTCACCGAATATTTTTGCCAATCTTCCGAGGGAAAACTGTGTTCTGTTTTAATTAGCATGTCTCCCTCCCTGTTTCCTTGAGGCACCATATACTTTTCTATGTTTGTTGGACCACTTTTAATTCCAGGAGTTGCCTGTTCACACCCTTTGCCCATATTTCTATTGGGTAAGTTCGGTAATCATACCGATTTCATGGGTGGGTAAGTAGAAGTTTGGGGAGGGGCCGTTGCTAACCCTGATCGCACAGCAGGAAGGTGGGAGCTAAGGCTAGGACCCAACCCCCACCTGACTCCACAGTCTGAAGAATGGTATTTATTCTGCTTTGACTTTTGTGTCTTTACATGGGTGGGTCCACCTCTCTGTAGCTTTGAAGTCTGAGAGAGCAGAGACCAGACCTGCTACGCTCACCTGCATGCCCAGTGCCCACTGAGGCGGTGGGGAAATGGCAAGGAACAAAGCAGGGGAAAAAAAAAAGTTCCTTCCTGTGGAGCTTCCTTCCGTTGTAGAAGGTGGGAGGGCAGTGTGTGTGTATGGATAAACATGTATTTCGTTTAGAGTACCAATAAATACAAGTCAGTTTTGAAAGTTAGCCAGGAAAAGCCATTGCTTGTCAGGCCTTTGGGAATATTTGCCCCATCTCCATTGAGTCAAAGAGGTAACTATACTCGGGGGAAGGGACTTGTCAAAGGCTACACAGGCCACTTGGTGGTCATATGTCAAGGTCATATGGATGGCCTTCCTTCTTTTTAAAGATTTTAGTGCTTACTCATTAAAAAAAAATAATAATAACAGCAGGACGCCTGGCTGGCTCAGTTGGTAAAGCACGCGACTCTTAATCTCAGGGTGGTGAATTCAACTCCTATATTGGGCGTGAAGCCTACTTAAAAAAACAAAAAAATAAAAAAAAAAAACAACAGCTAACAATAAATTGAGCCTTTATTGCATGCCAGACTCTCTTCTTGGTGACTCATTTAATGCTCAGAACTCGAGAGCCTATTAGATAGATATATAGATACTATTATGCCCATTTTACAGATGGAGAAACTGAGGCACAGATGTTAAGTAACTTGCCTGGAGTAAGTTAATAAGCAGCAAAGCCAGATTTAAGTTCAGGCTGCCTAAGAGTCCATGCTCTTAAGCACTGCCCTACATAGCCTATTTGCTATATGGATTATTTCTAGAAGGGTGCAAAAGGAACTGCTTACAGGGGTGGGAGCCAGGGAGTGGGGCAAGGGTGTTGACATAATAAGTAAATAAATTCTATAATTTGTTAAAGGTGATAGGGCCTATGGGGAAAAACTGAGCAGAGATATGAGGGAATTCGGTGGGATGGGGGAGCAGAGGAGTTTGTGATTTTTTTTTTTTTAAGATTTTATTTATTTATCTGACAGAGAGAGAGAAAGACAGTGAGAGAGGGAACACAAGCCGGGGGAGTGGGAAAGGGAGAAGCAGGCTTCCCGATGAGCAGGTAGCCCGACGTGGGGCTTGATCCCAGGACCCCAGGATCATGACCTGAGCCGAAGGCAGATGCTTAACAACTGAGCCACCCAGGCGCCCAGGAGTTTGTGATTTTAAGTAGAGTGATCAGGATGGTCTAGTTGAGAAGGTGACATTTGAACAGAGATCTGAAGGAGGTGGGGGAGTGAGGCTTGTGAATGTCTTGGCAGGATGGACAACAGTGGTGGGAGTAGCCAGGGTGGGGGGGCAGAGAATGGTAGGGCCCACTACATTGCGTGGGGCATCATGGGCCTTAATGACGATTTTGGTTTTTACTTTGAGGGAGGTGGGAGCCATGGGAGAATTCTGAGCACAAGAGGGACTTGGGTTTTTTGGGGGGCGGAAGGGAAGAGAAAGGATTAACAGCTCTATTGAGATATAATTCACCTACCATAAAATTCACCCCTATAAGTACAGAGTTCAGTGGCGTTTAGTATATTCACAGAGTTGTATCACTATCCGCATAACCAGTTTAAGAATATCCATCCCAGTAAGAAATTTTGCACCCTTAGCTGTCATCCTCCACTATCCCCCGCCCCTGGAAACTCCTAATCTGACTCACTCTCTGTCCCTATATATTGGCCTATTCTGGACATTTCATGTCAGTGGAATTATGCAACATGTGGCCTTTTGGGACTGACTTCTTTCACTCAGCCTGATGTTTTCAAAGTTCAGTCCATGGCAGCATGTGAAAAGTACTCTGGTTCTTTTTATTGACAAATGATATCCCACGGTCTGGACAGACCACATTTAGTTTTTCCACTCATCAGTTGATATTTGGGTCATTTCCACTTGGGGACTATTATGAATCATGCTGCTATGAACGTTCATGTACAAGTTTTTGTGTGGATGGGTGTTTTCGGGGTTTTTCTTAGGTAGATACCTAGGAGTGGAATTGCTGGGTCATGTGGTGACCTTAACCTTTTGAAGAATGGCCATACTGTTATCTATGGTGGCTGGAACATTTTACTTCCCACCACCAGTGTGTGAGGGTTCCAATTTCGCCACCCCCTCGCTAACATTTGCTATTATCTGGGGACTTCGTCTCAAACAGGGTCCTTTCTGACTGCTCTCTGGGGACCAGAATGAGGGAAGCCAGTGAGGAATGGTGGCTGGACCAGAGTGTGGGCGGCAGAGGAGATGAGAAGTGACTGCACTTCCGACTGGGGACAGCCGGAAGCCGGAGTTAATGGCATTTGTTACTAAGATCAGTTGTGAGGTGAGAGAGAGGGAGGGAAATCAAGAATGACCCCAAAGAGTTACTATCAGATGGTTGAGACTGCATTAGGAGAGGGTTTGGCCGGTGGAATCCAGAGCTCAGTGTTGGACGGTTGAGTGGGATACCCAGCAGACGTCCAGCTGGGAACATACAATAGGCGATGGGGTATTCGACCCTAGAGTTACTGTTGGCGTTCATTGCACATTTCTTGAATAATTAAAGCCAGAACTGAAGCCGAATCCAGGGTCTCAGTTTCCCCCTCCAAAAAATGGGCACAATAACACCACTGACTCCTAGGCTGTCACGAGGCTGGGGCGATTCCTTTGCAGCACAGGACAGCATTGCATACCTGGAAACTAAAGTTATGCGTCGGGTGTTAAGACGGCTGAGGTCTGCAGCTCCGGCGAGAACTGGAGGTTATGTACGGTTCAAGCAGCGTCGGTCAGTCCGTCTCCCCCGCCCCCCAGCGTCTGGCTGCCGTCAGGGAGGGGGGATAGGAGACTGGGTCGCCACCCTGTCTTCCCCCACTCTAAGCTGGGTTTCCTCCTTAGGGGCGGCCCGGGCCAAGACCGCTGATGGAAACCAGCTGCGGGAGGCGCGGAGGCTCGGCGCAAGCCCAAGCCCCTCCCCGGCGCCGGCAGACCCCGCTAAGGGGGAGGACGAGGGCGCCCTAGCTCCCCTCCCCCCTTCCGCAGCCGGGCCCGGGGCCCTGGCACGTCCGGCGCGCCTGATGCTTTCCAGATGTGAGCCCGGTTCCCCTCCCCCACCTGGCCCCGTTGCTCCTGCGGGGTTGGGGCGGGGGGAGTCAGGGTCCGATACCCTCATATGAAATCGCTACCAGGCACCTGGGCCGGTGTCCCCTCCCGGCCGGTCTCGCTTCCCCATCCAGTCGGTAAAAACCGGATTGGGGTGGGCTGACTGGCGGAGACGCTCCTTCCAGGACCTCCACCTCTCCCCAACACCAGCCCCTCCGGGCACGACTCCGCCAGCCCACGCCCCTAATGGTCCGCCCCGGGACGTGCCCCTTCGGAACCGCGCCCCTAACCCCGCCCCTTAGACCGCCCCGGGCCACGCCCCTGGGGCGAGCCCTGCAGGCCCCGCCTCCGCCACCATCCCCTGTGGGCCGCTCGGTGTGCGAGTTCGTCTGTCTGTTCGCTTCTGTGTCTCTGGGTGTCTGCGTTTCTCGGTCCCTGTCTCTGACTCTCTACATTTCTGTCTGTGTGTCTCTCCTATACCCTGCATGTCTCTGTCTCTGCAGCCCTCTGCCTGTCTCTGTTGCACCTAGTCCCTAGGTCTCTATCTCCCCAAATCTCTGTCTCTGCCTCTCTCTCTGCCACTCTGCATCTCTCTGCATCTCTCTCCCCGCCTCTTTGAATTTCTCTTGTCCCAGTCCATCTTCAGTTCTCTCCCTCTGGCCTCCAGCCCCCTCCACCTTCTGTGTCCGGGTCTCCCTCCCGGGTCTGCACCCCCCGCCCGCCCACCCGGGCGCCTTGCCCTCCCAATTTCCACCTCCGCCTACGGCTTCGGCGTCGGCGGGCCGCGGGCGCCCCCGTGTGGCCATCAGGGGGCTGTCGCGAGAGGCCCGAGGGCTGAGTATGGGCGCCCGCCGGGGCGTGCCGAGGGCGGGAGAGACACCGTGGCTGCCCCTGGGTGACACCGGGGAATGGCGTGTGACGCCAACAGGCTGTGTGAGTGCGTACTACCGTGAGATTGCGCGTGACGCCAGGGGTTGGTGTGTGGCTGTGAGATTTTGTGACCACCAGACACAGGGTGTGACTGTGAAACCGTGTGTTACACGGAGAGGTTGTGTGCGACTGTGTTGTGGGATGAGAGATGACATGCGGGTGACTGCGTGGGACCCCGTGAGGTTGGGTGTGCCTGAGACACTATTCGGGGGACTGGTTGTGACATCAAGAGACTATGTGAGAGCGAGAGATTGTGTGGCACAGTGTGCAACATGGGGCGGACACGAGCGCTGTGCGTGTCACACGGGCAGACAATGTGTGACAGAGGGTGAGACCGGATGAGTGGGACGCACTCAGGTGGCGTGAGAAGGCGTTGTGACGGGCCCCGCGGGGAATGGGGGTGACGGAGGGACCATGTGAGTGTGACAGTGTATATCAGCCACACTGACGGACTGTGAGAAACTGTGTGACTCTGTGTGACACCGATCAGATCGTGTGGGATAGTGAGAGACTGTCACGGTGTCGTGACAGCGCGTGAGGGCGCGTGTCACTGTGCGGGGCACTCGGAGATGAGAGGATGAGCGAGGTCTTGTGCCCGTAAGCACGTGCGCCACTAGAGACTGCGGGGTGAGGGCGGGGACGGCTGTGTGCGGCGTGCACTGCGCGAAGCTCAGCAGGAGCTTGTGTGCATGACAGCTTGTGGGGGGGACAGTCTGTGAGGGACTGTATAAGGCTGTGTGTGACACCGGGAGACTGTGCAAGAGCGAGTATGACTGTATGTGGGGGTCACTGGATGTGTGACCCCATGGAATGTCGTGTGACAACGCTCAACTAAGACGTCGTGTGAGTAACTCCATGTCACCGTGTGAGACCCTGACAAAGTGTGGGTGAAGTTGCTGTTGGGGGCGAGACAGAAGTTTCAGCTGCACGTGAATGTGTGTGAGGGATGTCTTGAGAGATTGCGTGTGACACTGGGTGAAACTCTGTTTGCACACGGGACACTCTGCGATAGGATATCTGTGCTTGTGCGAGGTGGCATTGGCGATGATATGTGCCACCCTCTGAGAGATTGTGAGGGACCGTGTGTGGCGTTTTGAGGGGTCCCGCGGCTGTGTGTGCAGCGCGCCGGACGGTCGTGAGACAGTGAGGTAGTGTGCACCTCTGTGTGAGGGGCTGGGGTGGGGTGAAACAGGGGCAGGTGTGACAGGTGGGAGAGCATGTGTGATGGAGTGACAGGCTGTGCGGGACTCACCAGGAGAGATTTGTGCGACCGTGGAGTAAGGGCGGGGTGTGGGGCACGCCAGGAGAGCCTTCCTGCGTGTGTGTGTGCGTGTGTGTGTGTGTGTGTGTGTTTCAGAGGGACAGAGACAGAGGCAGGGGCAGAGACTGAGAGGGGAGACTGGGAGAGAGAAAGGGGGAGGACAAGAGACACAGAACAGGAGCGACAGAGACACAGAAACAGAAAGACAAAGAAGGGGACGGACATAGAGAGGGGACCCACAGAGACAGACCCAAGGCGGCCAGGGCGCAGGGGCCAGCTGCGGTGGCAGCAGGAGGAGGCGGGCCCTCAGGGACTGCGCCCCGGGGGAGGGGGCGGGGCGGGACTGGCGGCGGGGGACCCAGACGCGGTCTCCCAGCCTCCGCCACCTGCCCGCCATCCCAGCCCGGAGCAGCAACAGGTAGGGGGCTCGGGTCTCCACCCCACAGCCGCGGTCTGTCCGCCTGGGAATGAATGAATGAATGAATGAATGAGCGAATGAATGACTTTCTACTTCTGCGTCTCCATCAGCCTGTCTCTCCCCCAGCCCCTCCAATGGCTCCCTCTCTCTGTCCCCCTGTCCCTTCTCTCCTCTATCCCTTTATCCCCGCTGTGCCTCTCTCTGCCCCTTCCTTTGTCCCTCTCTCTCTCCTTTCCCACTCCCTCACTCCCCTTCCCAGTCCCCCTCACCTTCCCAGTCCCCGCTCTGTCCCTTTGTCCCTTCTGTGCCTCTGTCCCCCTGGATCACTCTGTCCCTCTATCTGTCCTCCCCTCCCTCTACTCCTTCCCTTGTTTCATCCCTCCATCTCTCTCTCCCCCGCCCCAGTCTCTTTATTTCTTCCGGGCCTCAGTCTTTCCCTCTGTCACTTTGTCACTCCCTCTGCCCCTCCATTTGTCCTTCCATCCTCTCTGCCCCTCTCCCAGTTGTGCCTGGGTTACCCGCCCCCCCGCCCCAGCCCTCTCTCTGGCTGCTAATGAGCAGAGGAGCCTTTGAGGTGGCCAGGGCTGGGGTGGGGGAGCTCCCCAAGGGGGCTGGAGGGGGCAGCTGCTGCCAAGGCCCTAATGAGGCCCCCTCTGCGCCTTTCCCGCCGCGATCTTAATTCCTTGTTCTCCCCGGAGTCACCGCTAATTGGCCTGGGGAGGGCCCCCCTCCTGGCTCCTGCTCTATCCCCGGGGGCTGAGGACACCTGGATCCTGATCCAGCACCTGTGGCCCTGTTCTTTGGTCCCCCCTCCACCTGCCTCTAGGTCCCCCATCCTAGGCACCCCTCCACCATCTCCCCTTGCCCCTCTCCTCCCTGTTCCTCTGTCCCTCCTTCGGCCTGCCTCTTGGTCCCCCATCTGTACGTCTCTTCGTTCCTCCTTTTTTCTGTTTTCCTGTCCCTCCCTCCACCTCTGGGCACCCCCTTCGTACGCTCTTCCATCCACAACCCTGTCGCCGGGTCCCACGACCACTGCCACCCTTACCTGGGGACCCAGACTTGCCCTAGCCCAACCCTCTCGGCCCCCCACTCCCGCCCGGCTTTTAAACTCTTCCCCGCCCTCAGCCATGTCCAACAACATGGCCAAGATCGCGGAGGCCCGCAAGACGGTGGAACAGCTGAAGCTGGAGGTGAACATCGACCGCATGAAGGTGCGGGGTGCGGGTAGGGAGGAAGGCGGGGGCTCCGGGGCTGGGGTCTGGACCCGGCGCTGTTGGGGGTGGAGCCCGGGGGAAGATTCCCTTCGGAACGGGGCCGGACCCGGGGGAGGGGCTCGGACAGGGGGCGTGGTCACAAGGGGGCGCGCCGGGTCCGGGGAGGGGCTGGGGGCGGGCCCGGGCAAGAGGCGGGGCCTTGGACGGAGGACCGTCATCACGCGGGCGCCCGCAGGTGTCGCAGGCGGCGGCCGAGCTCCTGGCCTTTTGCGAGACGCACGCCAAAGACGACCCGCTGGTGACGCCGGTACCCGCCGCAGAGAACCCCTTCCGCGACAAGCGGCTCTTTTGCGTCCTGCTCTGAGTCTTCCCGACCGCTTGCCCTCCTCTGCCAAAGTATGGATCCAATAAACGTGGTGATTGTGGTGGTACCTGTGCTTTTGGGGAAACTGAGGCACGCCCAGGGCTTGGGGCCATCATGGGGGAAGCTGTGTCCCTTCTCATCCCTTCTGAGTGTGTGTGGAGTGTGTTGGGGGGTGAGGATGTGCGGGGTGTGTGGGGCGTGGTGTGTGGATGCAGAGGCTTGTGCAGGAGGAAATGAGCAGTGTGGGCTCTGACCTCCACTGAGCGCTCCACGATCCTGAATTTATTTAATCGTTCCAAGAGCCCCAGAAGTCAGCTGGCTGACTGTAGAGTATCCATTTTGCAGATGAGGAAACTGAGCCAAAGGAGGTCCCTTACTCCAAGTCACACAGCTAGGAGGTAATGAGGTGAAGACTGTGGCCTCCAGTGCCGAACCCCCAAACCCCTGAGCTGGCCTCTCTCCTCTCTTGGGTTGTAGATTTTTAGGAGCCCCTGTGCCCATTGCACCTTCCTCACCCCCTGGATGATTCCACCCCCTGCCACAAGCTTACCTCACCTCTGTCCTTAGCACTGATCTCTGTTGTTCATTCATTCCTGTGGTACCTGCTCTGTGACCAGCCCCGCGCTGGGTGAAGCTGGGAACATGGTTGTGACTGAGACAGCCCTGGCCTTGCCCTCTTGGGGCTCCGAATCCAGTGGGAGAGACAGACCTGTCCCCAGAAAATGATGACCCAGAGTGGGCAGGGCTGGGGTGGGGGAGCCCAGAGGGTATACTTGACTCAGCTTAGGGATCAGGGAAGGCTTCCTGGAGGAGGGGACATCTGAGCTGAGACAGGGTGGTAATAAAACTTGGGGACCAGGAGGAGAGAGAAATGTGGCTAGAGGGAGAGGAGACAATTTAATGTGTACCACTCTTTCCTTCAACAGTTATTTCTTTGTTCCGGGGACACAGGGGTGACTAACAGCTCTGGCTCCTGCCCTGTGTTTCCCACTTCATACATGGCTGGCCCACAGGACATTTATAGCCTGCAGTTCTATTTATGTTATGTCGTCTTTTATTTATTCACTTATTTTGGGTTCTCTACTTTTGGCCTATATAATGTTTAAAAATGTTTTTGACTTGGTTGCCAAATTGAAAAATAGGAGTCTTTCACTTAAAAGTCCTTATTTCCAGCTTCTCCCAAATTGGATGTTCGGGTGACCTCAGACCCATATACCCCTCAGGTTGACCCTAGGCTGGGAGGTGGGATCTGGGCTTTCCAGCTCACCGAAGTCTCCACCATGCCCTAATGTCTCCTGCTTAAGAAGGCTGAGTGCCAGGTGTTATTTATCAGGGGCTTCTTCCAGTGGAACGTGTTATGTCTTGAATGTCTGTTGAAAATGAGATGCAGGGGACGCCTGGGTGGCTCAGTCGCTTGGGCATCTGCCTTCAGCTCAGGTCATGATCCTGGGGTCCTGGGATCGAGTCCCACGTCGGGCTCCCTGCTCAGTGGGGAGCCTGCTTCTCCCTCTGCCTGCCACTCCCCCTGCTTGTGCTCTCTTTCTCTCTCTCTCTCTCAAATAAACACATAAAAAATCTTAAAAGAGGGCGCCTGGGTGGCTCAGTTGGTTAAGCGACTGCCTTCGGCTCAGGTCATGATCCTGGAGTCCCGGGATCGAGTCCCGCATCGGGCTCCTTGCTCAGCGAGGAGTCTGTTTCTCCCTCTGACCCTCCCCACCTCATGCTTTCTCTCTCTCTCAAATAAATAAATAAAATCTTTTAAGAAAAAAAAAATCTTAAAAGAAAATGAGATGCAGATTGGGTGAGCTGTGGGTTTGGTCAATCATTTTACCAGGTTGGCTGGAGGGCCACAGAGTTAGAGACCCCTCTCTAGTCCCCTCACCCCCACTTCCTCTTTTCTCCCGACTAACACCTGTGCTCCCCAGCTTGGGGCAACGGGGGCTGGACCCCTGGATCTGGATGGAGCCGGCTCACCGGGCCATGTGTGTTTCTGGTGAGTGCTCCATTATTCACATTGGATTAGGGTCCCCTGGGCCCCAACTCTGAGCTTCCTGTTGGGTTGAGGCAGGACAAGCTGTAATTACATCTCCCTCCTGCCTCCCACCCCTCTCAGCTGGCTCCAGCCTAGTTGCATCATGTCTGTGGGAGCCCCTGGGGACACCGGGGACAGACAGAGCCAAGGATGAGCTGGGGGGGGTGGGGCTGGGGAGGAGGGATGCTGGGAGGGAAGTTGCCAGAGGATTCTGGAATTTCTCAGACCCAGCATCCTTGCATGTTAGAACCTGAAATGCAGAGGACTCTAGAATCGCAGGACCTCAGAGGGCTGGAATTCTGGAGTCTTTCGACCCTGTGGGGCTAGACTCCTGTTCCTTTGTCCAGCTAGGACCCAGAGCTCTGTACTGCAGGAGTGTAAGGATTCCTTGAGGCTCGACTGTTGGGATTTAGACCCTTTTAGCCCCGAAATCTTGGGGCTGTGTAGTGTGGATCCTCCCTCCTTCACATTCCTGGTCTTGGGGAATGGAAGTCAGGAGAAGCAAGGGGGCTGGCTGACCCAGTGTGGGGAGGGGAGGGCGGGCAGGAAGGAGGTCTACCTGGAGGAGGTGTGGGAGGGAGGCTGGGGGTGCGGAGGGTGCCAGACAGATGAGCTAGACAGGGCAGGTCCTGGGTGAGCAGCATCCACGCATGCAAACCTGGGTAATCTTGTTAGCGGGTATGACTCCGTAGTAACAGCTTCTGGTTACCCGCTGCTCTGCTCTTTCCGGCCAGCCTCGCGTGAGGTCAGCCCTGGGGTCAGAGCCAGGCCAAGAGGCAGAGAGGGGACCACCTGGGGAAGTGCCTGCTGCCAGCAGTCCCCTTCCACTTCACCCCAGACCCTGAGGGGCCCCAGGCTGCCCCTCCCAGGCTGTCTGCCCTTTGCACCCCACATGCTCTGAGCGGTGCTTGGCTCTGCTGAGGGGATTTGGGGGAGGGGTGGCCCTGAGCCACAGCTATGACCATCACACATTGGAATCCCGTTTCTGAAGCCCCACCTCACTTAATTCTCCGATGACCCCCCAAAGGACTCTGTTTATCCCCATTTTATAGACATGGAGTCAGGCACAGCGAAGTGGCATCACCTGGCCAGTTGGGGCTTGAGGTTGGAGTGGGCACCAATGGGTGAGGGTTCAGGAGGGGCTGGAGGTGTTGTGGGGGGCTTGAAGGACAGAACGGGGGCATCCCAGGGGAGGGGCCAGGCCCAGGCAAAGGCAGGGCAGGGGTGGCAGGAGGAGAGCCCCCTGGAGCAGGAACGAGAAGAAGAGACTGGTAGGTAGGCAAGGGCCCATTTGGGGTGCAGGAAAGGGTGGTGGGCAGAGACAAATGGCCTGTGTCTGAAAGCGTTGGCACCTGCCAATGAGGGACAGGTCAGGATGGACACGCAGCAACTTCTTGCAGCCACGGGAGGGCACAGGTGGACAGGTAGGCTTGGCAGGTGTGAGCAGCTGATGGGGTGCGCGTGCACGTGCATGTGTGTGCGTGTGCGTGTGGGGCCAACCTCTTCCCAGGCAGGGCAGGGCCAGGACACCAGGGAGCCGGGAGAAGGTCAGGCCCCGGGCAAGCAGGGTCTTAGCTCGGGGGCAGGTCCGGATGCAGGCGTGGGCAGGCAGCTGGAGGCACTGGTCCGCAAGCAGGTGTGGGAGAGACCCAGGGCTGCGGATGACTCAGCGGAGGACCTGCATGCCCAGGCTCCCCTTCTGACCTTCCCCGCCACTTGGGAACATGCATCCGTTGGATGGTCCCCCCCAGCCCCGCTGCGTCCCCCTCCCTCGGCCCCCAGTAAGTGGGTGACAGTTTGTTGAATGAATAATAACAACGCCAGCAGCTGTTTGAGGGCTTCCTGGAGGCAGGCAGGGGGAACCCGGTCTCTAATCTTCACACCACACCCCAACAAGGGCAAGGCAGCCATGTGAGGAAGAACATCAAGGCTGAGCCAGGGGAAGTCATTTTCCAGGGTCACACAGCAAGTGACTGGTGAGGGGTGGAGGTGCGCTTCCAAAGCCACTCTCTTCCCCCTGCGCCAGGCAGCCCCTCCGCAAGCAAACACACACACACACACACACACACACACACGGAGACACAGCCATAAAGCACCACAGGGGTCCACAATAAACACACAGGCGCAGACCCACAACGAGGTGCGTGAAGGGACACAGATGTACAAATAGGCTGTCGAGAAAAATCATGCCCACTCACCGCCATGGTGCACACAAGCACACGCACTCACGGTGCGGTTAAAATGCTCCCGTAGGGGGCGCCTGGGTGGCTCAGTCAGCTGGGCGTCTGACTCTTGGTTTCTGCTCGGGTCATGATCTCGGGGGTCGTGGGATTGAGCCCCACGCTGGGTTCCACACTCAGCGGGGAGTCTGCTTGTCCTTCTCCCTCTGCTCCCCGCCCCATAAATAAATAAATTTAAAAAAATGCTCACTTCAGTTCCACAGGCCCCGCTAATATCACACAGACCGACGCCTGAAGTTCACGTGTCTGCGACAGTCCCTTGCACGCCCCCTGCCCTGGTATGGTGCTGGCCATTCCCCATTGTCTCTGGGGCTGTCCTCCCTCCTCTGCCCCTGTCCATGGTCCTTCTGGGGATGCACGAGTCCTGTTCAAGCCGTGGGAGGGGAGGGAGGCTGACTCGCCTCCCTGAGCTGTTCCTTCCCACAGTTCCCCCACCCCCAGCCCTGGAAGCCACCCCCTCATAGCCCAGCTGGGGTGGCCTCTCACTCCAAGCCACCTGAGAGAAGAGGAACCCTTTGTGGCTCCAGCTGTGGGCGTGGCCACAGCTGGCAGGATGCCAGGGTTCCCGGAAAGTGAGTGGAGGGGGTCCAGCACTGACACCAGCCCCAGGGACCTCTCGTTACAGTCGCAGCCACCCCCACCTGCCCTGAAGCATACAACGGGATGCCAGGGTTGCAAGGGCTCCCGGCCCCCAGTGGCACAGGTGGGTAAACTGAGGCCTGGAGGGGGGGCAGGGTGCATGAGGCCAGGCCACACTGGGCCTGGGAGCAGAGTGGACTTCCTGAATGCTCAGTGGTCCCTGGTGGGGACAGGAAGCCAGGGGGAGGGAGGCTCCAGGAACCAGAGCTACCCCGCCCCGCCCCCCAACTCCCCTGATGCTGCCACAGGACGTAAGCCCGCCAGGCATCATCCCTCATTAATATGATATAACTTCCTGAGTTCCCTCTGGTCTGCCTGGGGATTGAAGAGCACAGGGTGGTGGGGGGAACCGCAGAGCCAGGAGGCCTGAGGCCCATGCACCCAGGCACCTCTCCGAGCCCCTGGTATGGCTGGAGCTGAGGCCGGAAGCTGGGGATGCTGTGCTCATGGGTGATAGGGAGAGGGGGAAAGGGGTAAGGCAGTTGTGGTCACCGAGGGGCCTGGGTATAGAGAGGGGAAGTCTGCAGCTACCCCATGTCCAGCCCTTGGGATCCGGAGCATCCCTCCTGGACTCGGACATGATACATGTGCGCACGCGCACTCCTTGTCACAAAGAGGGCTCTGGTATGGGCCACTGGCCATGGTTGGCCGCCTGGCCCATGAAGCTGGGGTCACCCCATTGTACAGATGAGGAAACTGAGGCACACCGGCTTCTCGTTCCCACCCTGGTCATCACGTCGCAAAGAGGTGGTGGAATGGGGAGAGGAACTCGAGTCAAATGAGTGAGCCCCTGAGTTTGTAATCTCTCCATTTAAACTGCCTCCCTCAAAAATAAGGGGTGTCTGAGAGGGGCTCTGGCCCTTCTGGGTGGGGAGGCTGCATGGGAAGCCATTGACTCGGTGGGACCCGGGGCTGGTGACCGCTGTGTCGGCAGCTGGGACATGTGGGCTGAGCACACGGGCCCGAGGGTGGTGGCTGGGCGTGTGTTTGGGGAGGTGTGGGGGAGATGGACGTGACAGTGATCTTGGAGTCCTGAACTTCTGTTTGTGGCCAAAATATTATTCCTGGAAGTCAAGGTCTCTGGAGCTTGGCCTGGGGCTTGGGATTGCTGGAGCCAGAAGCAAGAGGGTGGGAGGGCACTCCCCTTTGATGCTCTTGGAGGTCCTGAGGCCTGTCCCCGACAGACTGCTGGGCACCAGGGCCCTCCTCCCTGGAATCCCTCTCCCCAAGACTCGGCCGGGTCGATGGGCTTGCACCCTAGGACAGGCTCTGGGACTGGTATTCTTTCTCTAGCCTGGTCACCTCCTTCCCCAGCCTTCTGGAAGGAGTGAATTGTGTCCGGGGAACAGAAATCTCAGTAGTGCCTGAAAAACACTACATCGGGGAGGAATTTCCTGGTCATTTCTCAATCCCTGGTCAATGTCCTAACCCTGGGGCCTGGAGCCCAGAATAGATCTCAGAGGCCACCCCCAGACAGCCTCTCAGACTGGTCAGCTGTGCCCCTCAGGTCTTGTCCTGGTGTGCTCCAGGGTGCAATGACTCAGTGATCCCCACGAGGGGCCACTGGGAGAGCTGGGGAAGGGAGAAGGGCAGAGACCAATGCGTGGGTCAGCGGCAGGTGGCTCAGGGATGGGACCACGAGAGGAAGCAGGGAGGGGAGGCAGAGGTAGACTGGGCTGCACTGGGCAGGGAAG